AATCTCGGTTCAAATCCTGCCTCTATCACTTGATGGCTGCATCAGTTTAAGATACTTAACCATCTGTGTCCTAATTTACATGATTGTACAAAAATTGTAACAATAGACTTGAATTCATAGGGTCATTGTGTGGATAAAAAACCATAACTCATAGGTGCTTAGACCATTGGTACTCTATAGTAAGGAAAAAATAGTGTTAAGAAATATTTTTTTTTATTTTATTTTTTTTAATTTTTTTTTCAACGTTTATTTATTTTTGGGACAGAGAGAGACAGAGCATGAACGGGGGAGGGGCAGAGAGAGAGGGAGACACAGAATCGGAAACAGGCTCCAGGCTCTGAGCCATCAGCCCAGAGCCTGATGCGGGGCTCGAACTCATGGACCGCGAGATCGTGACCTGGCTGAAGTCGGACGCTTAACCAACTGCGCCACCCAGGCGCCCCAAGAAATATTTTTAAGAGTGGCATTTAGTTTGTCACATTTAAAGGGTAATGAGGGTGAAATAAATGATCTTAGTAGTGCTCTACACTTTCAGATATATTCTGACTTAATCAGATTCTGATTATTCTAAATAATTCTATTTAGCTAAATTCCTCTAAAATTATTAAAATGTGTTTATTATATAGTTACAGTTGATCTTTATTATTTTGAGAGTCTGTATTTGCAGATTCACCTACCTGCTAAAATGTATTTGTAACCCCAAATCAATACCCCCCCACACCCCCCCACCCCCGTTACCTTTACAGTTACACCCACGACCATGAAACAGATGAGTTTCCAGAGGCACACATTCCCAGCTGAGGTTGAACAAGGAGACACTCTGTCTTTTTGTTTCAGTTCTCATATTGTAACCAAGTGTTCTTTTTGTGGTCAAATAAGTGCCACTTTGGGGTGGGGGGTGGGCATTTGTTTATTTTTGCTTTCTGTCTGTGAGTTTGGTATTTGAAATGCTCTCCAACTGTAATGCTGAAGTGCTGTTTAGTGTCGCTTATTCCAAGAGGCTGTGATGTGCCTTAGGGAGAAAATACATGTGTTAGATAAACTTCATTCTGGCATGAGTTACAGTGCTATTGGGCATAAGTTCAATGTTAATGTACCAACAATAATATTAAATAGGATGTCTTTAACCAGAAACACACATAAAACAAGGTTACGTATTGACAAGTTGACAAAAATGTTGTAATGAAAGGCTCATAAGAACCTGCACCTGCATTTTCCCTAAGAGCAATGTTACCATATTTGCAAATTCAGTGTTTGTGGCAACTTTATAGAACATGGCTGCTGCTTCAAAAGATGAGAACTGACTGTAGTTTGCATGTCATTGACATGTTAAAAATGTTTAGCAAGTAACTGACTTTACCCAATTTTTTAAATCCTTTTACAAAGACACTTATTTGTAGAGCAATAGCTAATCTGTAGTGATCTAAAAGAAGAGGCTCAGACTGGGGTCTCCCTGGAGAATATATTGCCACACCTCTGCTGCATTTCCACATGATTGAAACAGTATCAAAGTTGCCCTGGGGTTGTAGGGGGCTGGAGGGGTCGGAAATCCATTCTGTGACTTTGTGCCTGGCCTCTTTCTGACAGTTGTTTATTTCTACCACCTCAAAAAAACAATTTTGTATGTTTATTTTTAAAAATTAATTTAAGGGGCACCTGGGTGGCTCAGTCAGTTAAACGTCCGACTCTGACTTTGGCACAGGTCATGATCTTGGGGTCCGTGAGTTCAAGCCCCGTGTCAGGCTCTGTGTTGACCGCTCAGAGCCTGGAGCCTGCTTCAGATTCTGTGTCTCCCTCTCTCTCTGCCCCTCCCCTGTTCACACTCTGTCTCTCTCAAAAATAAATAAAGATTAAAAAAAATTTTTTTAATTGATTTAAATGTTCATGGTAGTGTTATATGCACATTCATTTTCCAAATAGGTGTATAACTAAAACCAAGACTCTTCCTCCCCAACCTGGAGGAACTGGAGGGAGTTCCTATTCCCTCCAGACTCCCCTGTTCATTGCTTTTCACTATCCTTTCTTTTCTGGAATTTACCTTAATGTTTTTCAGCATTTAGGTAGCTGTAATTCCTTAGTTTTAATTCACAGGTTTAGGTATCACCTACTGATTTATTCCTGGGTCAGGAGTTAGCACTCTGGTACACTCCAGCCCTACGCCCAATCGTCTTCCTTCTTTTCTCCTCCTACTCTTCCTTCTCCTCCTCTGCATTTCATTGTGATCCTTCTTCTCTTCTTCCCTGAGGTGTAATTAATTAATGTGAAATGCACAAATCTTCAGTGTTTACTTCTCTGGTTGTATTATTTCACTAGGGCTGCCACAGCAAACACCACAGAGGAGGAAACCTAAATGAACCACAGATAGTTGCTTTCTCACAGTTCTGGAGGCTGGAGTCCAAGATCAAGGTGTCAGCAAGCTTGTTTCTTCTGAGTCCTCTCTCCTTAACTTGCAAATGGCTCCCTTCCTCCACCATCTTCACATGGACTTATTCTGTGTCTCCGTATTTCCTTTTCTCAGAGGGACACCAGTCATACTGGATTAGGTCCCACACTGATGACCTCATTTAACCTTTTGATTTCTTCAAACCCCCTACCTCCAAAACACTCACATTCTGAGGTACTGGGAATTAGTATTTCAGCATGTGAATTTCAAGTGGGGGCCCAATTCAACCCTTAGCAATACATTTTGACAATTTTATCTACCCATGTAACAAATGTGAAAGGAAGATGCAGAATGTTCCCATCACACCAAAAATCTCCCTCTTTCCATAGCCAATCCGTTCCCTAGCACAACTGCTGTAGGCAACTGCTAGACTGCTTTCTTTTACTATAAACTCCTTTTGACTCTTCTTGGACTTCATCTAAGTGGAATTATGTAGTATGTGCTCTTTTGGATTTGTGTCTCACCTTGAGTAATCTTAAATCTTTTCAATTTTTCCTTATCATATTTCTGAGAATTCCATTTTTTTTCTGTTTTGGAATCTCTGTTTCTTGGATTTCAAATCTTTTTCTCTCAGTTTGCACTCTTCTTTTCCTGAAATTTACCCTCATTAGACTCCTGATGAATATGGAGAGATATCTTTGAAACCATGTATTTCTGAAACATCCCTATACTTATATAAGCATATATTCTTATACTTGAGTTATTTTTCCTTATGCTTGATAACATTTGTATAGCCTTGGAATTCTAGGTTTAAAATACTTTAGGAATAGAATTTTATAAGTATTCTTCTATTGTTTTCTAACTTTGAATGTTGTTGAGAAATCTTTCTCCTTACCATTTTTACTTTTTATGTGACCTGCTTTCTTTCTTCCATTCTGGAAGCTTTCCTATCTTCTCTCCCCCAGGAGGCTCTAGTATTTCACAGTAATGTACCTTAATGTAGTTCTTGTTCATGTATTGTGTCAGAAAATCCATAATCCCTTTCAGACTAAAGTCTCAAATCTTCCAGTTCTGCAAGGTTTTTACTGCAGGAAAGAGTTCTGGTTTTTGTTTTGGTTCCTTGCTAATTTTCTGCCTTCTATTTTTTTTTTTATTTTCATTATTTCATCTTATTAGTTGGATATTGGAAATTATAGACTAAACTTCCAATTTCTTATCTTTTTTCCCCCAAATTTCTGTGATCATCTTTCTATGATCATCTTCCCCCCTCCCCTGGAATTTTACAAGATTTCTTTCCATGCATCTTCCAGATAATTTATTGAATATTTAACTGGTTAAACCAAACTATAAATGTCATAATATTTTAAAAGAATCTTTCATTTTTCCCATATTTCTATTCCTTTCACAGATGTAATATCTTATCTTAGATTATCTAAATATTAATGACAGTTTTTGGGATACTTTTTCTACTCTAAGCATAATGTTGTCTCCTTCAAGGGCCATAATATTGTGGTTTTTTTTTTTTTAAGTTTATGTATTTATTTTGACAGAGGGAGAGAGAGAGAGAGAGAGTGTACAAACAAGGAGGCACAGAGAGAGATGGAGAGAGAGAATCCCAAGCAGGTTCTGGGGCTTGATTGTATTTTTTCCTATTTTATACTAAAAGCTTTTTAAAACAAAATGTCTTGTAGTCTTACAATGTTGGTTAACATTAAAATGAAATATGTACTAAAAAGCTGATTCCAAAGTGCATGAGTGGATTAAGTGGGAGCCTCATTATTGGGGCATTAATTAGAAACCTGGCTACTGTTTTCTCTAGGGCCAAACTTACAATTTTCTCTAGAGAATTATTATTTGGTATTTGCCTGGGCAATATACATCTGGTTGTCATTGCATTGAACACAGATGATGAAAGAAGACTTATTCTCTTCGACTTAATAACCCTTGCCCTCATCTGTACTCTCTTCTGTGCCTGATATCTCTGAATCTGTGGACTCTGTTTCAGTGTCCCTAAAGGATAAAACTCCCAGTGACTCCAAGGACACTGAGGGTTAGTAGATTGATTTTCCTAGATGTGGGTATGACTTTCAACCCATCTTTTATTTCAGCACCATGCTTTAGTCTTGTCTTTCAAGGTATTTAGGACGCAACAATTTCTAGCCCTCCCTGAATTTTGTCATGGAAATCACCTTGTTATTCTTTAGTATCTCTTAGGGAGTAATTTAGGTTTCATCTTTCTCCTTTGGCTCAGCCACCACAGTTCCCTCGGTTTGCATCTCTTAAATATTTGTTAACATCTGTCATCCTTAAGACTACTATTCTCTATTTCCTTATGGTTTTTTACTCTTAAGAACATTTTACTGTCATTTTAGTGGCATTTACAAAGGAGAGGTGATCATGCACATAATCAATCAAATGAATTGTGTATTTTTGTCAAAATCATACAAAAAGGGACACTGTCAAATTGTAAAAATGGATTTAATTTGGTTATAGGGGCTAATCCCTAGCACTTCTTGCCTCTCTGTTTTATTCCTACTTAAGTTGGGGTCATTTCTTTGACCCTGCTCTGTTGCCCTTACTTTCTCCAATGTTTTAATTTTCATCTTTTATTTTGCAGAGTATCAAAGTAAGCTGGCTGCCTCCTCCATCAGGAACACAAAATGGATTTATTACCGGCTATAAAATTCGACACAGAAAGACGACCCGCAGGGGTGAGATGGAAACATTGGAGCCAAACAACCTCTGGTACCTGTTCACAGGTCAGTGTTCACATAGCACAGTCTTGCAAGGTTTTTATGAATTAAATGCTTTAGGAATAAAATATGCTTTCACTTCAAGGAAACATTCTTTTTTGTTTGTTTGTTTTTTCCTGACAGGTGACATCTATTGGTCTGAACAAGAATAACCTTTATATTTTTAACGATATCTTTGTAATGCTTTCAGTACATATTATGGTCCTGGATCATACTCTTATAAATGTATCATAGATCTTTTAATCCGTATTAGTTTCTCAGCATTGCTTATTCAACAGCAGCCCCTCTGTCAAATAACTTTTAACTTTTTAACTAGTAACTTTAAAAAGCTATCTAATCAGGGGTTCCTGGGTGGCTCAGTAGGCTAAGCATCCTACTTCAGCTCAGGTCATGATCTCTTGGTTGGTGAGTTTGAGCCCTGCATCAGGCTCTCTGCTATCAGCATGAAGCCCACTTTGGATCCTCTGTCTCCCTGTCTCTGCCACTCCCCACTCACTCTCTCTCTCTTTCTCTCTCTCTCAAAAATAAATAAACATTTTTAAAAAGTCATCTAATCAAATGGTTCCAAGTTTAAGTCACTTTGATCCCTTTCCGCCTAATCTCCAGTGGTGAGAATGGGGCTGGAAAATGTGGAGAGGGTAGTTTAGGAAATAAACAGATTATTCTACTTTCCATAAACATAAAAGTAAATTCACTTTTGTAGCAATATTGGTGGAATTCATAGTAGGTCAAGCTTCTTTATGACAACTGGAGTATTCCATGCAGTTTTCCATGCAATATTTAGAGAATGTGTTTTATTTTACAAAATGAATAATCATATATATTTTTTTAACTATTGGTACTATCATGTCCATCCAGGTTCCTGGAAAACAGTCTGAGATATGCTTTCAAGGCAATGCCTCTGGGGGTGCAAGCCCAAGAAAGCACGCATGAGGAAACAAAGAAAGGGACCAGGGAAGGAGAGAAATCTTTCACAGTGGCTATCATTGAGCTGGCTACAAGTTTGGAGCAAACACAGAGTTTGTTCAGCCTCATGGGGTGTCTCCTGAGAGGCCGCATGAAGTACTATATATCATAGGCAGTGGCTGGATAGGAAGTATGAGCAGTTCCTCTCTTGCCTATAATTGGTCTAAATCTGTAGATAGGCTGTTATCCATTCTATACCTGCAGACAGCACCTGAGAAGCCAGAGCATCTGGCGAGTATGCAAACATAGAATTCTCTCTGTGTCAGTAAGTCCTTTATGAGGTGGTGGCTTGGTCTAGGGTAGCACCAGTAAGTACTTAGGAGGGCTTTATAGCTCTAAGGAGAGTGTGAACTATTGCCTGGGGCTTGGGAGGCAAAGCATGATATAGCAGAGGCTCTTGGTAAGGATTGGGAGGCAAAGTTGAGCAAATCTGGAGTGGCACATAAAAAGGGTCCTGGAAAATACACAAACTGAACTCTTAACTTACACCTAATGGATAATATAAACTATCACTGCAAATGAGGAAAAAAGAAAGTAATCCCTTATTTATTTCTTTCTCTATACCATGTGCTCAGTAAATTTCCATTTGAAATCATAGTTTGTTACACACACACACACACACACACACACACACACACACATTTTAAGCTACATTTAAGCTACATTTAAGTCCGCATTCTGCAACTTGATCAAAACCTGTTTTCCCCCTCAGGTTTGTTGTTGTTGTTGTTGTTGCTGCTGCTGCTGCTGCTGCTATTGGTGTTTGGTTTTTGGTTTTCGATGTGTTTTTCTTGTCTCTTGTGCCTATAAAATTTTAGCATAATGGTGAAAGTGCTTCCAAGTAGGTTGTCAAAAATCACATTACTCGTTTTATATCTGGACAAAAATCTCTCAGACAAGTATTATTGCCTCTAAGAGGAAGTTATGGCACTCTACCACATCATTTAAAAAGCTTAAGAAAAGCCGAGATCTTATGTCTTCTTTCCTGATGAAATTATGGGAAGAAGGTAAAAATAAATGAAGTGAGGCATATGTGCTCAGTGTGATAGTTGGTGTAACCTGTAGTTTATTTTGACAGAAATCACCAACATTGGAAAAAAAGTCTTGCTGAAAAAATTTTAATAGAATTCCTAAGATGTAATAGATGAAGAGTCTCTAAGGATAATTATATCCAAGACTTTTTCACCCCTGGTTTTACTGAGGTATTATTGTCACATACCACCGTATAAGTTTAAGGTATACAACTTAATGGCCTCACTTGTGTTCACTGTGAGATGATTAACGCTGACAGTTTAGTCAGCAGCCATGATCTCATATAGATACAATTTAAAAAAAGAAAAAAAAAGTCCTTATGATGAGAACTCAGGATCCACTTTCTTAAAATTTTCATCTATATCATACAAAATGTGGAATGCTTCACTAATTTGCAAGCCATCCTTCTGCATGGGTCCTGCTGATCTCTTTATCACTCCGATTTTAGTATATGTGCTGTGGGAACAAGCACCAAGCCTTACTTTTTTAAAATAGATGATGGTATTTGAAGCCCTGAAATCTTTTTTATAAGTTATTCCTTCTCAGATGAAAAAGCTTAAAAATATAAAATAACCTTTTTATACAGTAATTCATTGAAAGATGAGTGTTCCAATGGAAAAGCTCAGGATTGGATATTCAATTTATGGAACTATAAATAGCCAAGATGCATGAAACAATGTTCAAGCTCATTAGTAGAGAAATGCAAATTAAAACAAAAATGAGTTAACATTTTCTTTGGATTAAAGTAATAAAGATATAAGTGAATGATGATACCCTGTTCTGGAAAGCATATGGGAGACATAATTAATATTCATATACTGCTGTGGGCCAGATGATTCTAGAATCTCTCTGGAAAGCAATGTGTAGATATTTGTTATACACAGGTGTATATACGTGTGTGTGTGTGTGTGTGTGTGTGAGAGAGAGAGAGAGAGAGAGAGAGCAAGAGAGAGAGAGAGAGAGAAAGAGGGAGGGATCTTTACAGATATATGATCTATGTTTTCTACTAGGAATTTATTCCAATTATGCAGCCATATTTTCTGCAATTTTTTTCACTATAAACATGTTCATTGCACTGTTACTTTAATAGAAAATTTTAAGGAAAAAAATACTCCAAGCATCCAAATATAGGCAGCTACTTAGAAAACTTTGTCAAAATCATATCAAGGAATACTGCTTACCTAATGAAAATGATAAATACTAAATCAAATATTAATTATTTCAAACATGATTCAATGAATAACTCAACTTTAAATCAATATTAGTGTGTGAAGTTGATATTTATAAATAAAATATGAATTTGTAGGAAAATATTTAGAGTAATATATACACCAGAATATTGATGGTGATTGTTATTTACATTTGTAACAACAATAAAATATGTATTTTAAAATTATGTATATAACATGAAGAACAAAAAGGCAAGACCCTAATGCCATATTATGACTTTTGGTCACCAAAATTGAAAATTCCTACCACTAAAGCTAACTCTATGGCCACTGAACAGCTAAAAGGCAAGTGGCCCAGAAAATAAATGAAGAATCGTAGCCACCTGACCAAAAGAAACTGCTGCTGTGAATTCTTTAGTATTTACAGTATTTTTGGCAAATGGGATTTAACATATTGAGCTTAGTAGTATCAAACCAAGATTCTGGCTCTCTAAATAGACAAACTTTTAGGATTTTCTCTCTAAAGAAGTGAAATTATTAAAGAAGAAAAAAAAAAAGCCAGAAGTCTGAAATAAAGGTGTTGGCAACATTGGTTCCTTGTGGAGGTCCTGAGAGAAAACTCATCCATGTTTCTCTCCTAACCTCTGGAATTTGCTGGCAATCCTTGACATTCCTTGGCCTGTAGTTATGCTGCTCCTGTCTCTACACCACCTTCTTCTGTTGCCTGTCTGTGTTCTCTCCTCTTCTTATAAGGACACGCATCATGGATAAACCCCACTCTAAATCCAGGATGGTTTCATCTCAAGATCCTTAACTATTCATATTTATAAAGATCCTATTTCCAAGTGAGATCACGTTCTGAAGTTCCAGGTATTCAGGAGTTTTGAAGTAGACACTATTAAACTTGCTGACAGATACCTTTCATTTTCCCTCTCAAGAACAATCATTTTTAATTGTATTATCTAACGAACTTTATTCAAAAATAAATAATTCAGTCCTACATTTTTATTCATCTAAAATATATGGGACAATTAGATCTTCTAATCAGCATGAGCTGTAACCCCTTACCACTCTGGTTTAATACCATTCCGGCCAAAAGCAAAGAAATAGGATGAATTAATTAGCTTGTTATTGGAATAGCTCACAAATGCCCCTTCCCATCTTTATAGATTTCTAGGAATCTGGACTCAAATTTGAATTCCTCATTCATACTGTTCTTTCTTCATTTCAACAATTACAAAATGAATTTGGGAAGACAAACAATCTGGGCAGTTATATTTGTAAGTGTACCTGATATTTATGGTAAAAACAAAAGTCACACAGACTCCATTCTTAAATTGAAATGAAGAAATAAAAACTGCCAGATAATAGCCTCATATCTATAAAACATTAAAAACAAGTTGTATAGAGTCTCTGCCTTCCTATCCCCTGATCTGTGACCCAACTTCAGTAATGCCTATTGCATTGCTAGATATTGTGGGAGTGTTTTCAGTGGTAGAGAGCACAGGTTTTGACTTGTTCCCAGAATATATTTATTTAGTAATGTATGCAATTTCTAGTTTACAAAAGTAATTGATTTTCTGTATGAATCTGCAGCACTTTAGAATGTACAAGACTTGACCCTATGTTTCCAATACCTATATGGTACATGGATATATTGATTTGTCTGTTAAAAACTTGGAAATGCTAGAATGCTTCATTTGGATGACATAAATATTCAGGTGTAGAGACTCAAACTTGTTTTTTACAATCCTCTGTTAGACAGGTGTTTTTTTGTTGTGTGTGTTTTTTACTAGGATAATGAGACATCTGCAATAACATAGTAATTCAGAGTTATAA